GGTTATTGAGAAGACAATCGCTTATTCCCGCCACGGCTCTTATTATACCTGATGCTGCAGGCTGCGGCCGGAGCTCGCCCTCCGCATGCTGCACCCTCCGAGGCTCATCCCATTAGTTATTCTGCGGAGCACCTCTCCCAAGGAAACGCGAGTGGCTGCTGTGATTAAAAGGCGGCACCTTCAGTAGACGCTGCAGAAGGTCTCAGCGTCCTCAATTAATCCTCCCGAAACCCCGTTCCCATGCACGGAGCAGAAAACAGCCCCTCAGCCCTTTCCCCCTTCTCCCCGCAGCTCCGGACCCTCACGTCACACCCATCCATCCACCGTTCCCAGGAGATGCCGAACAGGATGGGATGACGGCGGGAACGCGGCCGTGCGTAACCATGGCGCAGGCAGAGGATGCCTGACCCGCTGTGCCGTGCCCTGGATGCTGTGAGATGGGATGAGGAGCCCCTGGGCTCCTGTGGGACTCTCCGTATAGAATCCCCCAGCCCTTTGCAGTGGGGTATCAATGCAAACTTCAAACTGCAGGCAGGGGGAGGCTCACAGAGGTGGGGTATTCCTGGCATGCAGCTCAGCAACGGGCAGAGCACCCGTCCAAGCCCCTGCCCTGGTGTTCCTACAGGGCATCCTGGATTGCTGCACCCCCAGGCTGGCAACGGGGATAAAACCCTTCAATCTCTGCACTGAACTTGCAACAGCTTCATGCTCGAAAAGGTAGAGGGGTTGGACACTGTGCAGCTCCCCACATCCCCACTGTGAGCCTCTTCCAGGGCTGCCAGAGAATACCCTGAGAAGCAGAGGCATCCCACCGGGACCTGGGGGCTCTCATCAGGGACTCTCATCACAGAGCAGCTCCAGCACCTTTGCCATCGCTTAACAAGCAGCAGAACCAAAATGCTCATGTTAGCAGGGGAAAAGCCCCGCTTCTGTCACCTTGTGTGCAGAACGGAGCTGCTGGCCCCCCTCCAGGCTCACCACGCTCCTGCAAACACTGAATGCAACTTTAACGGGTTAAGTTTGAAGGAAAACAGAAAAGCTTTGCCTTTGCAGGAAGGGAAGCAGCCCGGGCATGCAGGGAACAGCAGCACTCTGTCCTTGCTGGCATGGAGGGGTTAACTTCTTATCCCAGGAATGAAAAATGACCCCCCCATTCCAGCAGCCTTTCCCAAATGCCGCCTTTCCCACGCGGCTCCAGCATCCCACACCGCCACACAGGGCTGGGACTCGGTGCTGATGGCTTTCTGCTTTCACAAGAAATTACAAGCTCGGGGTTCAAACCCAACTGAAGAGCACGCTGGCTTATTTTCTGTCAAATTCCTCTGGTTTAGTTACACTTGTGCATCTTTTCCGAG